CTCATAACTCATAACATAACATATAATGTAATATATAAAGACAGATTCCACTGCATGAAAGGTTAGGTCCCTTGTTTGAAGGGAGGATTGTTAAGATACAAACAAGTCCCACAACGATAAAATAAGACAAAAAAAAAAAACAAATTATATAATACAAACATACTTCTATGATTGAGAGGCCTTTTGGATAATGACCAAAAGCAAAATCGTAAGAGCTTATGCCCAAAGCGGACAATATCTCATCATTGTGAAATATGCTTGTATAATAACCTTATAAAAATAACCCTTATAAAATATCCTATTAGACAAATATCATAAAATAACCCCATCAATTTCTTAGAAAATATTTTATAATAAATAATTCTATTTATAAGAAACAACAATAAAGTACAAACTAACATATATATATATATATTTATTTATTTACTTCACTCTTTATTTTACATATCGATTCAAATAAGTAATCAGAAGTTTCTATACTTTTTATTTTTCATTTCTACCGTACACATTTAACTTTTTTTTTAACTTTGTTCCCCTTTTATATTCATACATATTTATTTTCTTCATTTTTTTTTAAATTTCATTCCTAATCCATATTGAGCTTTAAACTTACCCCTACTTTTTCGCCTTTTTTCATTTAATAAACTATCTTGGTCATACAAGAAGCTATGAGTATGAATACATTTAGTTATATCCATACAACAAATGGACAGTGAAAGGGTTACCTAATCTGATAATTAGTTTAAGCATGTTATTGGATCGATTATGCAACTAAATGAATACAAGTATAGGCAACGAATTCAATCGATTTAACGTAAGTTTGTAGCGTAACATTTCATAGATAAAGTTTGCAGGTTTAAATATTATTTTTGTGAATGTAAATTAGTTTTTTTTTTTCTTGTAGTCTCTTTAAAAAAATGTTATTTCATTCTTAGCATTTTTTAACATTTTAAAAATAGTGTTTATTTTTCATTTGTTTTTTTTTTTAAATGTTTAACATGATTAATAAAGTGTATGTTTATATTCATCTTATTTCACTTAACTATTGTTATAAAAGGTATATTTTGATACTAGTTTAAAATTATGTTCAATAAAAAATACGTATTTTAATTTAAAAAAGAAGTAAAAGTCTCAGTTGAGTTTAACTTAATCAGTTCTTAAACACACTCATAATTGTATTCTTATATATATATATATATTTTTAGATAAAAATACAAAATAGACATTTTACTTTAAATAAATCAAGTTACAATTAAAATTAAAACATAAAAGAATAAAGTGAAGGGGTCATTTTGAATTATACACATGTGAATGTGAATTTGAGACATTAATTATAAACTTTGTTTTCACCTTATGTGCGAATGTGCGACAAAATGTAGTCCCGACATTGGGGTCTTGCTATTAATGACGAATACTCGTAGGGATAAAGAATTTAAAATGAAATTGAGTATGACGAAATATTCAAATAAAGGAAAGAAATATTTTCAATTTATTAGAACGGAAGATCCGAGTGTGAAGCAGAAAGCAACTTACATGATATCCATTCTCAAACTCTTTCCACTTTCTCAATTATACGAAGCCACAAGTCAAAGAAATAGAAAAATAAAAGTATGATTACATTTTCTTTTCAAAGGTCCTCGGATTCATTGGCTCATGTCCGTAATTCGGGACTATTCTCGTATTTTGTCAAAGATCGAAAAATACCATTCATAGAATTATATTTACGACACGTCGAATCAAACACGAAAGACCATTCCTTAAATAATTTTTATTACTAGAAGATATAAAATTTATTTTAAACGTATGCTTGCGTGTTCACAAAAAAATAAAATAAAATAAAGTATGATCATGTTTTTATATTGTCTTTAGCCCCTACCAATTTTGAAGTGGGAAAATAGCAAATATAATTTTGAGTTAGTTATCTTTGTGAATATTTGAAATATAAAAATGTAATTTAAAGAAATAGAAATTGTTCCTGTATGAGGATACACACTTTACTTGTCCTTGCTGTTGCGGGTCTGATATTGGATCTAGGTCTTCTCGTTCTTTTCTGGGTAGTCCGAAGTGAGGGAGGTGCCCGCAAAGACACTCCAATACTCAGGTAAGTGCTCAGCGTATTAAATGCGGTAGTTGAAAGTTAGTTACGTACCTCATTGGAAGTCTATTTATAGTGATTGTTATTAGGTCGTGATTAGAGAATGAGCTTCAAAAAATTAAGAACTAAATCAGTGTATTAGATAAATTAATCTCTCCTTAATTGTTCTGGTATAACTCCGTAACTTAGTCGACCAAACTGACTACCTCTTATTCAGACTAAACGGATCCATGTGTTCGGTAAGATCGATCGGGTCGGGTGTTCGGCCTTGGTTACCCTCCGGTATAGAAATGATGTTAAAAAATTGTGGGCGTATGGGCCAGTGGATTCCCACCCATCGAATTTGATTGATGAGAGTGATGATTGGGCATAGCTAATTTATTGACTTCAACAGCACCAAAAACCAGCAATCATTCGAATGGAAATATATATTATATAGGGGAAACTTTATATTATATAATCAAACAAGAAAAGGACCAAACCCAATATGAATATACAACACCTCACCCCGTACTCTCATTTTTTCAACGCTATTATTATTATTTATTTTATTTTAAATTTGTATTTACCCCCCCAAGCCATCTGAAAAACCTAAGGAAAGAGACCCTACTTATGGAACTCATATATTTGTTTCTTATTTCATCGTAGTCAAACCAAATCCCTACTCCTACTCCTACTCCTACTATTACCTTTTTTTTCTTCTTTTTGATGAATTAATGAAATACTCCTAGTTGTAGTTGGAGACTAAAGTTATATTTTCTTATATAATGTTATTTTAACAATTCATTTGATGCGTGACTTCTTCTTCTTCTTTTTTTTTTTTTAAATAATTACAAACAAACTTTTTATGGATGAATCACTTTTTTCTTCGAGATGAAATTTATTATGTTTGATTAAATAATAGCAACTTTTATCAATTAATTTACACACTCTTTGATAAAATAAACATGTCTTTATCTGATTTTAAAATGAAAAGTTGTGTAAAGTGAGAAGAGTATTTTTTTTCTTTTAGTTATTATTAAATATACATCCATGTAAAAGAGAAATTCATTTACTTCAATATCAATAAACTTATTTCATTTAATAACTCATTATCTATATTGAATTTCAAAGATGGAATCATTATATTAAAAAAATTTAATGTATAAATGAAGACTATGAATTTTTTTAAAAAATTTAAGAATTATATTATACATTATTTTATTAATTCAAATCAATGGATGAAATACTTTAATGATTATCCGTTAATTTGAATTACTGAAATGAAATATCAAATAATTTTTATTATTTAAAAAAAATCATAAATTTTATTTATGCATCAAGAATTTTTTATTTGACAGTTAAATTGTTAAAATTTAATATAAATAATGAATTATTAACTAAAATAAGTCAACCAAAATTTACTCTTACAATAAGAAAATTTATCCTTTCTCTATTTGTATATATTATAATTTTATTAATAATATTAAATTCACATCTTTAAGGTTATATCTAATGAGGTTTTAAGTATAGTTCTTTAAGAACAAGTTCTTACAAATTTTATCATTAGAATAAGGTGATGTGGATGTTATGTGTAAGAATTATTGTTATATAAGAACTTAAAAAAAATAATAAACAATAAAGTAGTCTTTTTTAAATGTGGAGTCTATTGTTTAAATTACATAAGGTGAATTAAGATCCAAAGTTAAATTCTTCTATCGGGAAAAAAAAAGGAAAATTCTAAATTTTTACTCAACGTTAAAAAATAGTTTTAAGAACTTAAAACTAATTATACCACTCAAGATGCTCTAGTAGTCTTTATTTTTCTTCCTGCGGCTCACTTAAAATAGTTCCAATAAAATTCATGGACCTTTGAAATAAAATATAGGATAAAATGTTTTTAATTGTTCAACAATTTTTAAAATTTGATTTTAGTTTATTAATTTTTATCTGTGCTATATTGGTCTCGTTAATTTAAAAGATACTACTTTGATCCTCAAAATAATTTAGATAATGTTTTAAAAAAATATATAAAAACATCATTTAAATCATTTTAAAAATCAAAAGTCATATATTTTATAATTAAAGAGACTAAAATAATATATATTTTTTAAATTAAAATGAAACTTAAAAAAATTTTAAAGAAAAAAATTTTTACTTTAAAATATATGATTAACTTAATCTGTTTTAGAATAAATAAATAATATGTATGCTTTTACTTAATTTTAAATTATCATATAAGACAAACTTATTAATTTTTATAACAATTATTTCAATAATCATATAAGGATTTGTACATTTTTTAATCATAAATTATTATATATGCTATTTTTTATTTATTTATTTGATAAAGAGGTAAAATTTGTTTATCTAGAAAGTCAACTCCTATAATAAGAAAGTAGTACATATTATCATGGTTTTACACCTAAAGTAAAGATCAAACATCTAAAAGAATAAAGTGATATCTCTAGTAATCACATCATATTTAACACATAAATCAAATAGTTATAAAAATAAAATAATATTTTTAGTCATAATTTTATACTTAATGTAAGAATTGAACTTCAATTTTTTCTAAGTAACACAAGTGTTATATGAACTAACAACTCTATATATAATAATAATTAGAATAAATAAATTTATTAACTTGTATATTAAGAATTAAAGAATGTACCATAAATAAATTTTACATAATTAATTAATTAAAAATTATATGTGATAAATAATAATTAAATGATGGTATAAACTTGTTTTATTAGTTGAGTAAATTATCATTAAATAATTATAAAAAGAAAATACATGCCGGTACAGAATTGGAAAATAATAAAAAAAAGAAATAATTATGGTTGCCTGTTGAACTAATAAAATGAATGATTCGAGTATTTGATGCGGAGCCATTAATATAGTGGACAGTGCAGACTGATCTTAGGTTAACGAAACGAAAGTAAAAGACTAAAATTCAAGGCAAAAACAGGAAATATAATTTTTGCATCTAATCTTAAATTGGATAGGAAAACAAAAGAAACCCCACACTCTCCCATCCTTCTCTGGTTAGTCAAACACACACTCCAATTTCACACCAATTCATCTTCATGATTCAATTCGAGCACGCTTTCCTCCATGTTCATTTGTCAGATTCCGCGCAGAAGAAGGAAAAAAACTCCCCCTTCTAGAATGCCTCTCTCTATTCCCTTCTGATGCACCGTGTTTGCCTCTCTTAGATCTGTTTGTGGCTGTGCTCGCTCCACCGCCTCAGCCACTGCCCACGAGGTTAGATCGCAACATTTCTCCGCCAAAACCGCCTTCCCTTTGCCGCTGTTTGAATTTTTTACTCACACCCACTTTGCAAGACGCTCTTTTTATGTCACTTTTGCTCCAAACGGAAAATGGGTCGCATCGCTTTCAGCCTCCGAGTTTGACGATGACGGTGCATGGTGGTGACTTGTGTAGCCATGGGGTTGTTAATAATTAGGGGTATGTTAGGTTTTCGACTGGTTTGTATTTGTATCTGGTAATGGTGCTTGGGTTCGGAAGCCTTGTGTTGGCATCTCTGTGTCAGGGGTGTTTGCATTTGTTGCAATAATGGGCAACGGCACTTCTCGTGTTGTTGGCTGTTTGGTGCCGTTTAATGTCAAAAGTGGGGTTGATTTGGAGTTTCTAGAGCCTTTAGATGAAGGGTTAGGCCACTCTTTCTGCTATGTGAGGCCATCTATTTTTGAATCTCCTGCCATTACCCCATCAAACTCTGAGAGGTTTACTGTTGATTCTAGCACCCTTGATTCCGAGACATTGAGTGGGTCGTTTAGGCATGAGAGCATTGAAGAGAGGCCTGGTAAGAATGTTCCGGAAACCACGTTCAAAACGATATCAGGGGCTTCGGTTAGTGCCAATGTTTCCACTGCCAGGACTGGTAACCAGAATGCACTGCTTGCTAGTGATGTCTTGGAGCCTGCTGCATCATTTGAGGGAACCTCTTCGTTTGCTGCAATCCCTTTGCAGCCTGTTCCCCGTGGTTCTGGACCGCTGAATGGTTTCATGTCGGGACCTCTGGAGAGATTTTCCTCCGGTCCTTTGGATAAGGGTGGTGGTTTCATGTCTGGGCCAATTGAGAAGGGAGTTATGTCAGGTCCTCTTGATGCCACTGACAAGTCCAACTTTTCAGCGCCGCTTGCACGCAGCCGCCGAAGGCCGCACCTCCAACGCCTCATGAGAAGTGTCAGTGGTCCTATGAGAAACACTTTTTCTCGGACTTTTTCGAAGCACTCCGTGGGTGGCAGTTGGGTGCAGCGGCTATTCCTCCATCCAGTGTCTCAACTGGCTTGGAATGCCAAAGAGGTGAAGTTTCGATCTGAAGTTTCTAGAAACTGTGCTGAAGTTGGATCGTCCGAATTGGAGTATACACATACACAAAATTTGCAGTGGGCTCATGGTAAGGCTGGTGAAGATAGGGTCCATGTTGTGCTTTCTGAAGAACAAGGGTGGTTGTTTATCGGCATATATGATGGTTTCAGTGGACCAGATGCACCTGATTTTCTGATGAGTCATCTTTATAAGTTTATAGACAAGGAATTAGAAGGGTTGCTCTGGGATTATGAGGATAATTCTGTTGATCCACCTAAATCTGATGTCCTTAAAAATGGAAATGATGTAATTGCTCTAGAATGTGGTAGGGAGGAAATGTCAGATGCTCTTACCATTTCTAATGAAGAAAGTTCTTGCTGTTTAGAAACTTCTTGTCCAGTAATGGTCAAGGATCAATCATCTAATAGTGAGATAGTGGAAGTAAATGTTGAACAGAAAAATTGTGGAAGTCCCAGTATTGTTCATACTGTTCCTGCATCTGTTCCAATTGGACAATTGAGTGGTCAAGGCAGAAGGAGTGTGCGACTTTATGAGCTACTTCAGATGGAATCTTGGAATGAACAGGTGACCGAACAAGGCAAGGACTCTGTAGTTTCTGGGGAAATAACACAAGGGAAGCAGATGAGATTCTGGTCACCTGATGGTAAAGAGGATAGATCTAGACATCAGGATGAAGGTCCCACTACTTCAGGGGAAAATGGAGGTTCTGGGTTTAATTCGACCAACCAGGAGCCAATAGCTCCTCTTTCTGTTTCAGGACAAAGGCAGAATACAAGAAAGTCATTTATTGCTACAAAAATCAGAAAAATGTACAGGAAGCAGAAGTCCTTACGAAAGAAACTTTTTCCCTGGAGTTATGACTGGCATAGGGAGGAAACTTGTGTTGACAAGAAATTAGTGGAATCCTCAGGACCCATTAGAATATGCAAATCTGGAGTAGATCATAATGCAGTTTTAAGAGCAATGTCTCAGGCTCTTGAAAGAACAGAAGAGGCATACATGAAAATGGTGGAGAATAATCTGGACAAAAATCCAGAGCTTGCCTTAATGGGATCATGTGTTTTAGTGATGTTGATGAAGGATCAAGATGTTTATGTTATGAACCTTGGAGATAGTCGTGTAATTTTGGCTCAAGAACGGCCAAATGATCGTCATCCTAATCCATGTCTCATCAAAGATGACATGAGGCATAGGAACCGATCTAGAGAGTCATTAGTGGGCATGGAGTTGGATAGAATTTCAGAGGAGTCCCCAGTGCACACAATAAATAAGCATGTTCACAAGATAAACAAAAACAGAGAGATAAGCATGTGCAGATTGAAAATGAGGGCTGTTCAGCTTTCCACAGATCACAGCACAAGTATCGAAGAGGTGTGTTTCCTCCTTTTTTGTGGATTGATGATCTATAAATTAATAAATTATTGTCAAATTTTCTAGTTCTAAAGTGTGATCACCCAGGCTTACATAGATTGTGAATTGTGTTCTACTTCTTGGTTCTTGCATGTATATGTTGATTTATCTTGACTCTGCATGTGTTTTTAACTATTCTTCGTTTTTACATACATGGGAGTGCTCAAATCTGAACTTTTTGCCCATTTAAGTTCACAGCTTCACGCATCTTAAATATTGATTAGTACATTTACCAAGATAGCAAAAAAATGTTTATTTACACAATTTTCTGAGTGCATTGGCCAGTACAATGGACAATAATGTGTCATTTTGGTATAAATGGAATACAATTTATATGAGAAACCCATTTATGAATAATCATTTGCTGAGAAGGTGTTTTTTTTTTTTATTTATTCACTGGCTTCTAATAAAATATGAATTAAAATATAGTTCCTAAATGGAGAAACAATGTTTCGGTGTAGTTGTCTCAATCAGATCAGGTCTGGTCAGATTTGTTGGCAACTTTATTTGAGGATTTTTCTAATTTTCAACTGAGTTATATTATCTAACAAAAAATTCAGTTGAATAGCTTCAGTTTTTCTATATTATCTATAAAATTCTAAGTACTTTATTTACAATTAATTTTTTTTAAAATCTCATTTGCCCTTATTTCATATTTCATCAGTATAAGATCTGGACTTAGCATATTTTCACCTATTTCCTTTTGTAGGCAACCTCTGCCTATTTTTACATCTAGTATTTTCATATACAAAATGCGTTGTTGTCAAGGTCCAGAGAGATTTTCTTATTTTTAGATCAGATATTTCTCTTTTGAAATTCAAGAGAAAAACTCAAGAGATCAGTAATTTGGGGGAAAAAAATTGGGTAACACCATATACAAACGTATTGAAATATTTATCTCTATTGGAAAGAAAGCTGAGTGTATTTGTTAAAATAGTTTTACACAATATTTTCCAATTTTGCTCGCAGGAAGTTTTTAGAATAAGAGAAGAACACCCTGATGATAATCAGGCCATATTTAATGATCGAGTGAAAGGACAATTAAAAGTTACCAGAGCATTTGGTGCTGGATTCCTGAAGAGGGTCAGTTGATCTTCTGACTTTGGCTATCTGAATTTTAGTTTGCTCCAGTCCTTTAGTCCATAGTTGATAGGTGGGATTCTATTTGTGTTAATACTTTTTCTTTTCTTCTTTTTCATAACATGGAAAAAAGGTATATAAAATATAATAAGCTGTGAATGTGACAGTTTCTTCATTACTATTTCAGATTTGAGCCTAAAATACATATTTTCAAATTCACCCGGTCTTCGTTTATGTGTATGTGTGTATATCCTTGAAAGAAAACTTATAAACATTTGGCTTGCAAGAACGAGTATCTACTATCAATGCATTAAGAGGGTTCCTGTTAGTTATCTATCCCATCACACCCTCTGATTTTCTTTCATTTAATTATCAAAACGCCAACCCAAAAAATGCGGGTGACTGGGTGGATAAACAGATGATGCAGTCAACGGTGACTTAGTTATATTTTGACTTGTCAGGTCTAATCTACTTTAAAGGGGAGATAAAACATGTTAGAGAAAAAAACATATTCTTGGAACCTTACATTTTAAACTTTCAGTAATTTGTTCACAGTTTTCAGTGATAGATTGGTCCCTTAAGCATAAAAAGAAAGTAGCATGTTGAATTTAGTTATAAACTTATATTGTACATTGTGCTATTCATTCATTTACTTTATGCATGTTGTGTATGACTGAATTTGAATTATTCTCCTGTATTAGTGTGATCATGCCACGGTTTATAAAGCTAGTAATTTTACTTCCAAATTGTGGCAAGATCAGCAGTTGGGTCTTCTCTATAGCATGATATTAGGGTTGCAAAGTTTAATTGTATTTGATACTATGAAGTTGAAAATGCTAGCCACACACTCTCTATTACACTCTTTTAAACACTTTTTTTCTTTAGTTGGAATTTATTGAAATTTGAAAAACACAATTTGTGGGCTCCACACCTTATTTAATGACTCTTTTCTAATTTTTTAGTTTTCAATAAATTCTAACCAATAAGAGTGAGTGTTTTAAGAGGAGTGTGTTAGAGAATGTGTTGCTAACACTCCTCTATTAAGTTTGTGATCAATGAGATGATGATTATTCACATGAACAAAAAATGTATAACTGCATTTTGGCTAATATACGTTTATACGTGAAAAAACTCAATATTCATCATTGTTGAAAAGTTTACACCAAATGCTCTGTAAACACCTACCACGTCTCACATATCAATGACTTTTGATTTAATGAGTGAAGTGTATATTTCCAACCACATCTTTCAATAAAGTTTTTACAATTTCAGTCCATTTACTCTGCTTTTGATTTATATTCTTGTAATTTACATTGCCAGTCATTGTTTTAATTTGTTTCTCTTCTCATGTTACTTTCTCTTTAAGTTTCAATTTACATTTCAAGCAACCTTACATTTCTTTTCGATTCAAGTTTCCTGCACATTTATATTTCAAGCACATTACTTTGACATGCACTCTTTCTTTTTCTTCTTTCTTTTCTTCTCTTCTTACCCAAACTCTCTTTTAAATTCAAGTTCTTTAAATTCCATTGCACATTTAACAATTGTTAATTTAAATCGCTTTCCTTCAGATTTTGACGCATTTAATCTTTGCTTCTTCCACTTTTCCTTAATTGTATGCATCTACTTTTTAACTTTCCAAGTTGACATGCTTCATTTTCATTTTCATTTGAATCTTGATTGGTCTTCAAGATATTTTTGAATATTGCATGTTATTTTCCTTAACTTTGCGTGTCTGTCAGATGCCTTTGTCCATTTGATGAATTTGAGTCATTCAACTGGAAGATAAACGTTGCTGGAATAAAAAATTTGTTCCCATGAGTTCAAATCCATTCCATTCTCTGCTACTAATCCAAACATGGCTCAAGTGAAATTTGATTTTAAGTCCTCAATACCATATCATTTAGAAATTTGAACCAAACAGTAAATAATACATTATGACTTTGAGTTGAATTTCTAATCCGAACAACACAAATTGAAAGAAATTTCATTGTCAACAATTAAAAATAAAATTTTGGTTGGGACTAATAATAATCGGCTGTAAAAGGTTTAGAAGCATACGTGCTATTGTTATTTGTTACTGAACTAACTTTCCTCCTTTCTCTTTTTTCTAGCAATACTTGGCATGTATCACTAATGACCATTCATCAATGAAAAAAATATCTGAAGTCTAACAATGACTGAATTATATAACATATGCAGAAGAATAGAAGTTAATTAATGGAAGTAGTCTATCTTTGGCATGCTGCTGCTTTTTTTGTTTAGGGATACTCTAAGAAATTCATAATATTCCAGACTAGCTTCATCAAAATCTATTTCAGATTTTTACGTTAAAATGGATGATAATTTTCCACTGCTATCTCATCTCCTTCAATCTAATGCCATAATAATCAAAGGCCTTGAACCCTTGTTAAATGTACATGTCGATAGGTAGTTAGTTTTGAGGAGCATCTTTCCTGTTTTACTAATTTTTTATGATGACAATAATCAATAATACCTCTTTCCCCCCACATTGTAATGTTTCAAACCTTTTCTAACTTAAATTGTATGATTTAGCCATCTTTTAATGAACCGCTTCTGAAGATGTTTCGAGTTGATTATGTGGGCAATGCTCCTTATCTAAGTTGCACATCTTCTGTTCTTCATCATCGACTTTCCTCAAGTGATCGGTTCCTGGTGCTCTCCTCTGATGGGCTTTACCAATATTTCAGCAATGAAGAGGTAGTTGCCCATGTCACGTGGTTCATGGAAAATGTTCCCGAAGGTGATCCTGCTCAATACCTTATTGCAGAGCTTCTCTTCCGTGCGGCTAAAAAGAATGGTCAGTTTCACCTTCCTAGTCCCTTTCATATTATTATGCCATTTGATGATAAAGTTAGATGGAAAATGCTTGCCATTTTGTGAAAAGGGAAAAACTAAAAAGGAAATGCAAGGTGTGAGTTTGTTGACTAGCTTGGGGGAGATAGGTCCTGATTTAATTAACTTCTCCAATAAAATGAATTGAGATTTTGTGATATATTAAATCAACCTACGTGTACTTAACTTTCAAGTTATTATCTATCTTTAAAAGAATCACTAGGGTGACTAGTGAGGAAGATGGGATAATATGTACAATGTTTGAAGTTTGAACTTTGTTGTTGTCATTGTAATATTTTTATGGCTAAAATAAATAACTCCTTAAAAGCTAAGATACAGTTACATGTCACGAACCAAATGATTCGCCTCATATTTCCAAGCAACTTGGTTCTCATTCAAGTTTCTAAGTAAACACTCCAACCCCTGGCATCTTTTTTAATGGAGTTCTTTTATTTTTTTTTATTACTTTGGTAGCCGTGTAATGTTGATGGTAGACAATAGATTTGAATTGTTACTCACTTGCTCTATCATATTCCTTTACAAAGAGAAAGGGGCCATTGTGGGATAGATGATGTTTGGTGTTTCTAATTCCTTTGCTTCCTGCCATTATTAGTTATGATAGTTTAATCCACATGGATATAAGTTGCGTTTGTTTTGTTTCTGCAGGAATGGATTTTCATGAATTGCTAGATATTCCTCACGGAGATCGGCGTAAATATCATGATGATGTTTCTGTTATGGTGGTTTCGTTGGAGGGAAGGATTTGGAGATCATCGGGATAATTTATTTATTTCAAATGACTCTTTAATTTTTGCCTAGCTGTCTTCAAATTTGCATGTTGCCTTCATAATGTAACAATTTTGGCCTACAAGTAAAATGATTTTAGAAATCAAAATTAGGCTCTCAAATATTTTGAAATGGAAGTTCTTTTTTTTCTTCCTATGTTGTCCTTTTACCGAAGGAGTGTTTTTTACTTTATTTTTGAAAAATTAATTAAAACGTGATAACTAAATAAAAAAATAATTCAAATCTTCAAGTCTAATAATTCAGCGGTTTGAATATTTATAAGATGGAAAATACTGCCATTTCCTCTGAATAACTTTTATAACTTTGGCAGGTTGTTTTTTTGTCGTTTTATTCCAAATTAATTTGTCAACTGTAAGATATGGACAACTTTGAAGTTGACTCTGGATTGGACAGCAATCATCTGTCGTTGCTGAACGAAACTGTTGACTGTTGTCCAGGGGATGGTGATTGGTTGTGTCTGGATATGTATTTTTAAAATGATTTTGAATTAATGTTTGATCTTATAAAATTAATTTCAAGTAAATGTGAGTTTTGTAGTAATAATGTGATTTATGTCCAGATATTTTGATATGTAATGTTTTGAAACTTGTAATAAAAAATAATTTTGATATATAATTTTTAACATGACTCGAGTCTTATATAACTAAAAATATATATGAAATAAATAATATAACTCAATTTAAATTGATGTAAAGGTTACTTTTAATAACTTAAATGGACTTGAGTCTAATTAACACTACTAAGCAGAATAATCTACAGAAAAATTGTTTGACTGTAAACCCTGTATGCTTGATGGTGAATTGGACACGTAAAAGTTGACAGCAACAACTGAATCTTCTTCTCAACTTGTTGAAGGTTGTTGAGATTTGGTACCACCCAGAATTCGTAGTTCAATTTCTTTCTTTTTACTTTACGTCTTTACCCAACCAAGAAAAGGGAAAGAAACCCTTAATACAGGATTTTGCTGGTCTTTTTTAAAACTAAATAAATAAATTTTGGTCAGGTCTTTTTAGATTTACGATTCACGAATGTGTTTGGTCAGTCTTCACTGATTTAAAATAAATGGTATGTTTGTTTTGCTTTGCAATTAAGTTGAAAGGCTTTGATTAACGAATGCTTAACCCTCACACCATTTGCTCGTAACCTCCTCCTCCTACGTACAAAATTGCATTTATATATAAAGATATGAAGCAACTAGCCTTTTGTCACCACCACCCAACTCAACATTACTCCTCCAAATTGGATCCTCTCTTCCCTTTCCTCAATTAGCCACATATCAAACTTACTTCATCTTTAAACGCGTTATCCTTACAACCATGTCGCCTACAAACATCTTTGCAATTTTGGCAATCATGATGAGCAGTGTCGTCTCCATTGCCTTAGCTTCTGATCCCGACGCACTTCAAGACCTTTGTGTAGCTTTTCCCTCCTCGGGTATACCAAATATTTGACATCGTATCTCTCATACTTTCTAATACTATTAATTAAAACTAAAATATGCAATTTTCAATCAATTTCAACGTGTGTTAAACAAAGTATATGTATATAGTAAAGAGTTATATATGGATAGCCCTAGCAAGTTATTACGCGCATGCAGGTGTGAAGGTGAATGGATATGCATGCAAGGAGGAGGCAAATGTAACAGCAGATGATTTTTTCTATGGTGGGCTACCCAACCCTGGAGTTATCAACGATACAATGGGATCAGTAGTGACTGCAGCCAACGTGGAAAAGATTCCCGGGCTTAACACATTGGGCCTGTCTCTTTCAAGGATAGACTTGAAAGCTGGTGGGCTAAACCCACCTCACACACATCCACGTGCAACTGAGATTGTGTTCGTGTTAGAAGGAGAAGTTGACGTGGGTTTTGTGAGCACAGGCAACAAACTCATCTCGAAAACCTTGAAGGAAGGTGAGATATTTGTGTTCCCAAAAGGTTTGGTGCACTTTCAGAAGAACAAGGGGGAAAATCCTGCTGCTGTTATTTCTGCGTTTGATAGCCAACTCCCTGGCACCTTCTCTGTTGCTGCGGTTTTGTTTAGTTCCACACCAACTGTTCCTGATGATGTGCTTGTTAGGAAGTTAGTTGAAAAGAAGAGCTAAATTAGATTTTTGCCAATTTAGCTCTATACCAGAGAACGAGTTGTTCTAATTCACTCATTGTGTGTTACATTTGCATCTGGAATGGGCCGTTTCAGTTACAAAATTAACACACAACGAGTGGGATCAGAACGACCCGTTTTAAAATCAGAACGGGCCGTTCCAGGTTCATTAAAGAAGGACTATGAAAACTTGCCACGTATGTATCTACGTGGCATCCACGTCATCTACATTTGACACCGTTTGTAAAATTTGGACGGAAAGTCCTACATTGACATTTTTTAAATTATTGATCATCAAATTAAAACATAAAATTATAGAGGGACAAAATTGAAACTATTAAAAAAATAGAGTTGGGTGAAGTTCCTCCATAAGTGTTACAAACCATCACCAAACCATGACCATGGCGGGTACGACGGATAACACCATACAATGAAAAATAACGGATGAAAAATGGCGACGGAATCCAAAAACGCCACGTTATAATGGTCATTTGCGTTAGAGAATAGATGACTCAAATTTTTGGTTACTTGAAGTCTTATCTTGAAGAAGTACTAGAAGTGTGCTAAAAGGATATCCATAGTTACTTGCTGAAAAAAAAGCTTATTAACTTTGATTGTTCTCTTAGTGTGTGTTTGATTTAAGTTGAAAAAGTTAAGTTTAACGGAAAATTTTCGTTTAACGAAAATTTTTCGTTCAATGAAAATTATTCGTTCAACGAAAAAATAATATAAGTGTTACTTTGGATGCAACGTACATTTTGAAAATAATAAAGTTCAACATAACGTATAAAAAAACTATCAAACAAATGGATACAAACATTCCATAAGAATTGAATGTCCGTTTGTGTGCCTAAACTGCAAACCAAACATACTCTTAGTAGTTACACCAAATCTTTCACCAATGAATCAAATAATGCTTTTTGAAGCTAGAAAGATAGTTCAATAAGTTTGTGGTTGAGCTTAAAAATAAAATTTTAATCTCAATGTAAAAAGTCATGTTTTCTTACTTGCAACCAAATGTGTTTTTTTTACACAAACATTTAGGAGCAGGAAAATGAGTATTTAATTGTCGATGAGGTGGAAGAAATAAATAGAAAACAAAGAAAGAAAAAAGATAAATATCATGGATTGCATAATTTGAAATCTATAATGATATATAAAGACAATATTTTCTTTTGGTGTTCACCTTTTTTTTAAAGACAATCATACTTTTATGTTATATTTTATTTTTATTCACTAATATATATTTAAGGATAAAATGAGAAAAAAATAAAAATAATAATTGTCTTTTTTAAAAATAGCTGTCTTCTTTAAAAAATAATAACTACCTTCTTTAAAAATAATAATATTACAATACTATTTTATTTTATTTTATTTATAGAGACATTTTTCTTTGTAGTGAATATAAATATTTTTTTTTGTTCGTCCCTGGAATATCCACCGCCGATAGCAGTGACTAATCTCCTCGCTACATTAGAAGCACCTCAAAGGGTGGGATAATTGGCCCCAAGATTTAACACAGCTGCATACACAAGACAGGATTCGAACCCCTGACTTTGCTTAAGCGTAGATCAACCCTTATCGCTGAACCACACGCTTGGAGTTGAATATAAAGATATTAGAGTTATAAGGCAGGAATGAAAAATATAGTGAGAAAAATTAAGGTTATTTGAAGGAAAAATAATCATTATTTTAGACAACCAAACATTCATATTTTCTCAACAAAAAAAAAAAAAAATCAATTTTGTTGTCCTTTAAACTTGATCGTGAATGTTCACATGCTTTTTTTTTTTCCAAGCAAAGATGATGTCTTCACATTTCTAATAGAGTATTGTACATCTTTGACGGAAGATATAATAAAAAAGAGAGAGAAACTGATAAATACAAATTATACAATTAATAATATGATATAAAAAGTGAAGGAAAAAAATCCCAATAAATGATTGATTCGAATAATTTTAGGTTTGAATATCTTAAGCTTGTAGTCAAGAATTTGAATCTTTATTGGTGTTTTCGAAAAACCACATTGTTGGAATTGGAGTTCACTTGGGACTGCTAACATATCTTTTAAAGGAGATTAAAAATCTTATTTAACCATCATGATATTCCTTTACAATCATATTCACCAAAAAAGAAAGTTGAAGAAAATAGTATAAACATTGAAATTTGAAAAAATTCATCGTTTTCCAAACACACTGAAAAGTAAAATCATTGGAATGTAAATATAGATATATTTTATAGGTAATGAACTCTTGGTTCTTTGTAACGATAGTTTTGAAACCAAAAGATATTTCTTTGAAAAAGGTTGGCCAATAAAATCCAGATTGGAGAACTTTTGTTGTTGTTCTTTCTCCATTATAATGCCCTCCATAGGTGAGTTATGACAATGCCAGAAAATATCTCTGATCTCAGCCCAGAGACACATCTCCTTAGTAAACCATCAACACCTATCTTAAACAGATACGGATCATCCAAGACATAGTAATTAGAATCTCTGAAGAACTTCTTCCTTTGTTACCAGTTATACTCTTCCGGAATAACCCCTGCTGCTTTGTAATTTGCCATATCAGCAAACCAGGGTCTTTCACTCATTGCAAACAACTTTTCATCAGGAAATTCTTCTAAGATTTCTTCTTCTTGACTAGTCACCTGCTCATTAACAAGTCTTGATAGGTGATCAGCAACATGATTCTCACATCCCTTCTTGTCCTTGATTTCTAGATCAAACTCTTGTAAAATAACAAGTTTGATTTTGATAATGATTGTTTACAGGCTTTTGAACTGTTAAAAAGTAAGCTTGTTTTAGCCCCTATAATCACTGCTCCTGATTGGAAAATTGATTTTGAACTAATGTGTGATGCTAGTGATTATGTTATAGGAGCTGCTTTGGGCCAAAGGAAGGATAAAATTTTTCATGTTATTCACTATGCAAGTAAGGTGCTGAATGAAAATCAAATTAACTATGCAACAACTGAAAAAGAGTTACTTGCCATAGTGTATGCATTAGAAAAATTTTGTTCTTACCTTGTGGGTTCAAAGATCACTGTTTACACTGACCATGCTGCTATCAAGTATTTGTTGACAAAAGTATATTCAAAGCCAAGATTGATCCGGTGGATTCTATTGTTACAAGAGTTTGATCTAGAAATCAAGGACAAGAAGGGATGTGAGAATCATGTTGCTGATCACCTATCAAGACTTGTTAATGAGCAGGTGACTAGTCAAGAAGAAGAAATCTTAGAAGAATTTCCTGATGAAAAGTTGTTTGCAATGAGTGAAAGACCCTGGTTTGCTGATATGGCAAATTACAAAGCAGCAGGGGTTATTCCGGAAGAGTATAACTGGTAACAAAGGAAGAAGTTCTTCAGAGATTCTAATTACTATGTCTTGGATGATCCGTATCTGTTTAAGATAGGTGTTGATGGTTTACTAAGGAGATGTGTCTCTGGGCTGAGATCAGAGATATTTTCTGGCATTGTCATAACTCACCTATGGAGGGCATTATAATGGAGAAAGAACAACAACAAAAGTTCTCCAATCTGGATTTTATTGGCCAACCTTTTTCAAAGATGCATATGAACATTGCAAGAGTTGTGATAAGTGTCAAAGAACAGGGATAATTTCCAAGAGACATGAGTTACCCCTGCAAAACATCTTAGAAGTGGAAGTTTTTTATTGCTGGGGGATTGATTTCATTGGGCCTTTGCCATCATCTTTTGGGAATGAATACATCCTTGTGGTCGTAGACTACGTTTCAAAACGGGTGGAGGCTAGTGCTTTGCAGAAAGCTGATGCCAGAACTGTCATAAAATTTTTAAAGAAAAACATTTTCTATGAAAACTTGCCTAGAAGTTAGTTGAAAAGAAAAGCTAAATTAGATTTTTGCCAATTTAGCTCTATAGATTGTAATGTGTATAAATACACTTCATTGTGATAATAAATCAGATTTTCTCATTTTTCAGCAATTACTTTCCAACAGTGCTCACACTCGCCTTCCAGATTGACGCTGAAGACGTTGACAAGATCAAGAACAATCTTTCCTCTAACAAGAATTAGTATGCAACCAATAATACTACTGCACCACACCCCGCAATATTTTGGTCTTGTCAGACGTTTTCTTTTTCTTTCTTTTTTGCTACGATAATTCTGGAAGGGTTATTGCTGTTTTGAAATCACTTTTGATTTTTCTGTTTACCCGTTGATACGGACATTGATTCTTTGTAACGACCATACGTGCTGGGAATACTCAAATTTGATTAGATTTTTTTTATCTCTTACTTTTAAAATCATAGTCTTTTATGGGCATGGCTTTCAAGGAAAAAGCATCTATTTGTTAATTTCTGTTAATGATATATATTCATAATAGGAGATGATTAATTAGGAAGACATTAAAAGGTTGCAGAATTAATACCTATCATCAACACCCAAACCAAGGACTTTGGCTTACTCAAAAATACTTTTGGGTATTGAAGTCACTGAATCTAATTGTGGTGTTTCACTGTTTCTCAAATAAGACATTGTTAAGGAAACTGACATGTCAGACTGCTGCAAAGCCCATTATCACTCCTTACTAATGTTAAACTTCTTCCTAATCGGAGGGAGCCAGCCATTAACTGATCTAGGTAGGTATTTTTAGTTGGTAAGCTAAATCATCTTTCTATCAATCTATCACTTATATCTAGATATTTCTTTTGTTGTTTCCGTTGTGAGTCAATTCCTCTGGTGACCATGAAATACTCATTGGAATGTGGTTATTCGTATTATGAGGCACGTCAAAGTATCTTCTGGTCACAGTTTATTGTATGAAAATAAAGGTCATTTTCATGTGGTGATTGTTGAGATGCTTATTGGGTTGGATCTCTGATAAGCATTGTTCCTTGGGAGACTGTGTTCTTGTACAAGGTAATATTGTCTCCTAGAAAAGAAAGAAGCGAGAGGTTGCAGCTAGATCTAGTATTGTGGATGACTTCATGCTATCCCCTTCATCACATCACATGCAGGGATGATAAGTAAATCCATATATATCTGATCCATATTTGTAAGTAATATTTAAATTTATCCCGATTTTAATTAATATAATTTTATAATTATTATTTTATGTTAAAATTCTTATTTTTTTAAATATTTAATTAACTTTAAGATCAGGAGTACAAGTATACTTGATATTCGAAGGAGATAAAGATGAATATACAAATTCCATATCTATCGGATAAGAATAGTAAAATTTGTACACATCTTATTTCATTGTCATCCTTAATCACACGTGAGCTAATTATTTGGATCAAGCAACCAATTTATAAATTAAAATTTATAGAAATCACTCAAATGATGTTATTTTGTGATAATCATCTTGTTCTTCATATGCTTCTAACCTAATTATCAAACATATTAAAGTAAATTATCATCTTATGAAAGAAAAAGTTCTTTTCAAGTGTATTGCCACTAATTATACTAGTTCTAATAAATAATTAACTTACATTTTTTTCAAGTCTCTTTTGGGGTTATCAATATGTTTATTTGTAACAAGTTTGATGCATGTTATATACTAATAATATCAATGTACTCCAATGGATATTGAATCCAACTTGAGAGTAATATTAATAGTGAATATTGAGTCCATAAGTTCATTTGTATGCATGTGTGTTTGTAACCTTATTTTCCAATAAGAGACTATTTTAATTTTTATTTAAAAACTTTAACATTTTAATTATATACTAAGTAATTTTTTTTAACCAAAAACTTATTGCATGTGTATTCTACTCAATTTTTCGTGGCTAAATGCTGTGTTTTTCACACCATGCTACTTCTTTTTGTTGGTAATATACCTTTTGTTACTCTAAAGGGACTCCCTGCTTAAATGTATTTATTATATATTGCTATATAAAAAATAATAAAAACCATTTAAATATGTTTTTTTTAACATTCTCTTTAATTATTATGTTAAGTAAAGTTTTTTAACGATTAACGATCCTACTAATAAAAAATGGATGTTATTGAATATTGCAATGCAATGACGCAGAACAGATGAATTCAGCTAGACTGTTTCGGGATACGAGAACGCCACCATGTAATGCGGAGCTAGAACATGATATTAGCTCCATATTTGGCAACACAATATATATCACCCATAGCTAGAATTAGAAATCCGACTCCTTTTCAATGACATACCATCGATTCTCTCTCTCACTCTCTTTTTCGTTAATCCATTACGTACTGGCATCATGTGTTTGACTTTATAAATTATAGTGATCTATGTTAACAACAAAAGGATATATAGTACGATATGTAAATGACTAGATTTGCCACGGTAAATGGTTGATATCCCTTGTGAAGCAATTTGGATGTTGAATGCATTATTAATGTTCAAAATAAATGAGAAGATATCGGAAAATGCTGCGAGATATGTCAGACAATGTAAGCTGCGAATATTTCAATATTGTTTCCCGCTTATATATATGTAATTCATAAAATAGTATACCAAACTTGGTGGGCTTCATCGCAAAATGATACAATTGCTGAGCCACAACCACATAGATGATAGATCACAACATATAGTAGTAATAGTTATTAAAGGACGTACGGAATAGTAGAGTACTAAATATATATTTATATATATGCATTATTATTCCGTTCTCAGAACTGAACATTGCTTATGAAAGACTGGCCAAATCTCCAATTGGAAGGTGCTACATTATTTGCTGTGCGAGTCCTCCCATTGCTGAGTTGAACTCTGAAAGACATGCTCTGACCATTCAGATATCTCGAGCTTTGCCAGTTAGCACCCCAATTCCTTGTCATGGATTCCCAGTTACTCATTTTTGATCCTTTGATCCAAACCCGGGAAATCACCCCAGCACCACCTACGTTGCTTATAAGCACCAATTCGAAATAATCTCTCCCATTCACAGTAAATCTGATGCCTCCACTTCTTTTGCACCCAACTCTGCACACATTCACACCAAATTTGCATAACATAAACATTTGTTATCCTGATTTATCATATGATATGTCAATTTAATTTAGAGTTTAAAATGTGTCAGAAAACTCGTGATGAAAAAAGAGTTTAAGGCATATCACATAACATACTTCCTGTACAAAATTGGTACGATTCCAGCTTTGTATTTGGCTATTGTCTGAAAGGCAGGTTGAGACATGTCGAAGTGTGGTCTAGGAGGATTACACCAACCACCATTGTCATTAGGGAGTGCATAGTTTGGGGGACAGAAATTAGTGGCAGTAACAACTATGGAAGTGCCCCTAAGGCACCATTGGGGTACTTGATTTGCATCACAAACTATTCTATAGCAACCACCACATGACTTGCCATCATTGAACAAAACAGTACTCAAGGCAGCTGTCTTTGTACCATAACCATCTGTGAAGAGATTTCCATAGCCACATGCCCCTCCTACAAGTAAAAACAATTAACTGATCAGTTAATTATTCGTGATCATTTCTTCACTTGTACGTAAATTTATTGAGGGGTGCTTTAGATTTCAATTGGACTACAGATATGATGAAGGGGGAAATAAATGAGACAAAAACTAAGAAGTTGCGTTTTAATTACCCATTGTTCCTGAGGCATCACTTCCACCATAGAAAGTTGCATGAGCTCGCTGCCATACAGCGGATGCTACTCCAAGTTCTGTAGTGAGTAACGCCACAAACAATGCAAGACCACTCAAAAGGAACTTTTTCATTTTCTCTCTCTCTCTGACTAAAGGAGTAATTGCTTAATTTGCTGCTAAAGATGGCTGATTCCTATGATGAATTTATAGCTGCAGTTAAGGGGTTTTAGCCCACAGAAACAACTAGTTGTTATTCAAATTGTGGGAAAAAAGTGTTGACCAACCAATTTGTCTCCCGTCATCATGAATTAAATATTGTCTCATATTTTTTCCATACTGCCAACCAATCATAGGATAAAGGTTTGGAGCCCCATATTCTTCGGCTAATTAAGGAAATCCATGTTACACGTTTGACGGGATATCCGTAGTACGTGAATGGTACCACATGCAATTTCCGCAGCCTGCTTTCCACATACAACATGCATTGATATTATAATGATAAATAGTATAAATTATAGGCCATTTGAATGATAGGCTATCAAAGGAACAGATAGAAGGTACTTATGCTCCGTACTTATATATATATAATATTTGAAAAGTCAATTCGTACAGGGAAGAGAATGGAAGAAATGATGGATACTGTGCACGAATATTTAATTAGTTTCATAGTTGTAGTAACATGCAATACCTAACTATGTGCGATGACCTTATTTGTTTATCAAGAGATGAGCTTTGATTCACACACGTTATAATAAGTATTTTCATGGCTAGATAACATGTATCATGTCACCGCCCACATGGCACATGGCTCATGTTATCTTGTGGCTATGTAGAACCAACTACTGCTTCACACACAGGTTCAGACTTCGTTATTGAAGAACAGCATACCAATTGGTATAGAAATGAATCATAGACACTCACAAATTGGAATACAGATAGAAAAATAAAGAAATAAAAGAGAAAAAAGTAGAAAGAAAACGAGATAGAAGAGAGAAAAGTGTATGTATAATATGGTACTTGATAAGTTAAGATGAGTGTTATAATAGAGTACTTTGCACTATTGAGATCTTCATATATTATAACTTCTGTTTTAATTTTGTAAAATCGTCTTAAGATCGATCATTGAATAATAATAAAATATGAATGAAATTAGTTAAAGTTTTATAGTGCTCAAATTTATTCTTTGTTGGATTTGGATGGAATGTAAATAAGATAAAAGCTAAAAATTTTGCATAGAATATAAACCTTAATAATATATGAGTGTTGTTTGGTAATTTTCCCAATTAATTCTTATATATTTTGAATCAATTTAAAATTATTTAAATGTTTATATTTTTATTTTATATGTTTTATAATATTTTTAATATTTCAAAAAAATTATTATTACAAATTTTAAAATTAATATCAATTATTTATTATTAATATTTTAATATAATTAACATCAAATATAAACTTAAAATTATTTGTAATACTTATTTATTTATTTATAAAAATTTCACAAATATTTATGAATTTCTGTGAATATTTATAAAATTCACAAATATTCATTTAATAAGTATTCACATGGATACGGAACAAGTTTTTATTTAGTAGAACGTATAACTTATTATTTACCCTCACAAAACTTTATTATCATCCTTCATTCGATTATCGTGAAATTGTTGATTTGTATATGTATGTAAACTAAATTTGATTAAATTAATTATATTGAGAGTATATGAATTTTAAAAAAAATACCATTATACGATTACAAATGGTTATAAGATGGTTGATTTTTGTAAAAATTGTTTTAAATTTTTTTTATACTCATAGTGTATTAAAATTAAATGATATATATAAACTCATTATATTTATATTAGCAATTTAATTTTCATTAGATAGAGATGGTACTGAACAAAGGTTAATCCGACACTTAATAAATGACAAATTTTTTTATTATAATACCAAAATCAATAACGCAAAGGAAATACCAATTTATGCATGTGAACAAGGAATTCACGATCAAGGTTAACAATCCTAGAATAAAGATGGTAATTAATAGAATTGGAGAATAGTAATGATCAGTGTTTACTCCGATAAGGCGATAATATGTGTTTATATATTTAATTAATTATGATCCGATTAATATGTACATTAACATATATTATAGGGGTGAAATTTCAATTTTTATTAGATAATAATACTAATCATAATTATAATATTGTATCTAAATTTTGTTCAATTTAGATAGAATAATACTATATCTTTCTTTCTTATCAATAAAGAATATTACAGTGACAACAATAAAATAATACAAAACTTTTTTATATTAAAAAAATATTAATTAAATGTTATAAGACTTTTTAATAATAAAAAACTCTTTTAAATTTTTTTAAAATCCTAATTCAATACACTCCTTAATATTTTCATATTAGAACTCTTTTAAGTACCAAAAATACTTATACGAATTAAAATTTATCGTTACCTAAACTTTAGTTAAATAATATGTGTTTTTGCTTGAACGAGTCTTTTTCCTAACAAACTAATAAATAAAATTATTATTTTATGTAAAAAATTAAATAAAAATAAAAGTCAATAAAACAAAGAAATTTATTATATTAAATTAAAAGAAAATAAAGGATAAAAATGAAAAGTAACTCTTTTAAGATATTCTTAAAAATAACTTGATCTTCCCCATAATAAGTATATAAATATAATTAAGTATTATAAATTTATTATATTAAATTATATTATACGATAATTGCCAAACTAATGAATACTAGGTAACCATATTCATACCCATTTCAGTATTAAAAATATTTATAGCCATTTAATTTCTTGTATTCATAAAGTCCTATTGTGCTCCTAATATATGTAGTGAGAAAAATGAAGGGTACATTTTGTGTCACACTTATATTGGTTCTTATCCCAATAGTGTGAAGCACCAACTCATATAACTACACATTTAGTATATAATATTTTTATTTTTAAGTATTTGTGGGAGACATGTCGTAAATATATTTAAAATCTCTCGAAAAGATTGAAAATTGAGTAAATAATTTAATAAAAATATACTAATAATGAGTTTTTTACACGGTCATCAAATTATAGGATGTGATATATAATTTTTTTTTTATAAAAAAAATCTCAAAAGTCACTACAAAATTTTTAATTTAGTTAATAATATTATTTTTACAGTAACAATATATGATAATTAAACTAAAATAATTAATTATTTTTTTCGATATGTTGGGACCATTTTGGGTTTGTTGATAGAATTTTCCTTTTTGTTGTTGAATTGGGTTTGTTGATGGATGATTCTTGAAATTCCTTTCGGAAATGACTTCGATCGACATTATCATTCACAAGGATAATTGTAATGAATTTGTGTTTTTTCTTTTTTCTTTTTTATTTTTTGTGTGAAAAGGATAATAATGAACTATTGGTCGATGTTGTTGAATATACCAAATAATCAATGTTTACAGAAAAGACATGTTGAACAGTATAACTAAAAAGTTTTCAATAATATCTTTCTAAATTTGCATGCAAAGCTAACATCTAAATGAAATTTTATCACGTCACGTTATCTTTTTATGTATTACTTTTACGTTAAATTTTTACATGCTATAAGTATTTTGAGCAGTGTCTGTGTCTCCAGCGTAGAGAGAAAAATAAGTATATAAAAATTATAAAAGATTATAATTATATTTATAATTAGAAGGGCAAAATAAAAGGGTTATATATACTAAAAGGGTATGAAATAAGTACATAAGTGAAAGTAGAGCAAAAGTATTAAAAAAATAATCGGAAACTACATATATATCTCCATTATATTCAAGACAAATAAAATTAATATAAACGATAAAGTTATTTTTTATTTAATATTCAATCTCGATCATATAAATTAAACTAAAATAAGTTATCAAATTTTATAATATTATCTCGTGCGATCTATGCATTAATTAGGTAGTAAATAATAGTTAATTAATTGGTAATATAATTTATAAACTCATATGTAAATATTTGAATTAAACTAATAAACATTGCACATACACTATACCTTATCAAATATTTTTAATTATTTAAGAATCAATGAATAATTTTTTTAAGTATTACAACTTCTTATTTAGTTACTGTGTTTTATAAGAACACAGTCATCAGCTCTATCCCTATGACATATATGACTGTCACTATTTATCGCGTCATTTTCCGCAAAGGAATAGGAACGATGCATTCCTAAATTCCTTGAATCATATCTCATCAAACGTGATCCCTTACAGTACTCCATTACACACAAAACCTAACTAATAAAATTAATGAATGAAGATTAAAAAAAAATGTATGAAATGATATGCATTATATGAAGAGGCTTATCTCCATTATCTCTGTGGAGTGTGGAGGATGTTCATTAATTAGTTTCGTCCAATCACAAGTGGGACCAAATAACCCAGCTGTTGACAACCTGCATGTTATGTCTTCTCTCTCTCTTTCTTTCTTTTTAATTTCTTTCAATAAATGACTCGTGTGGTGGTGGGGGCGAACTCCACTCTTATCCTTCTTCCAAACCCTTGTTTCGATCTTCAGACGCAATATTTAGCTCTGGAAAAGTGTTAATCTCAGACATTTGTTCTTATTTTCTTTATCCAAAATATATATCAAATTATTTGACAAAGACAGAGAAATTAAAGAGATTCTTTTGTATTGGATATAAGGATAAGTATAAATGATGTGTGATTATTATGGATAGATATGAAAATAATTCTCATTTTTTTATACTTGTTTTACATTTTTTTTATCACATCATTGCTCATATTTATCATTTTTAATTTCTTTCTTTATTTTTTTTAAGAGTTATTAGAGACCTTAAATGGACTGAAGATAAAACTATAATATTGCATATAAACGAAGAACAATTTTACTTTATGATTTTGTAAAAGTGACTTAAGCTCCTAACTTCTTAACTATTTAAATTTCTTTATTTTTATTAGTTAAAATTTTTGAGGTCGAAAATATAAGTTTTTTATATATTATATTCTCTTATACTAGTGTTAAAGACAAGGTAAATAATTAATAATCTTACTGACAATCTTTAAAATAAATTAGTGATTAACTGTGATACTATATAAAGTCATTATTTATGTTAATTTAAGCCTTATGTTAAAATAAAATAAAAAAAATACACCGCCCATGTGTGAAAAATACCATTTATTACATGAAAATACGTTTAACTCACTCTGATGTAACACTTCCCAGCTGAGTCAGTATATGTACAAGAATAGTCTTGTACTCTCTGTCTTTCTACAGTAACAATGCTATTCAAATAAAAATAGAAAGCTCTACGTACTAACTATTCTACTCAAACTTATTTACGAAGTGGCCAATTACAAGGATGAATCGATAACTCCCAGAACTTAGCATGCATATAGCCATATAGGTCAAGACTACTTTAATCAAAATCCCGAATCTTTATTTTTTTATATTAATTTTTATTTTTATAAGCACAATTAATTGGCACAAATTGTCACCACTAGAAATTCGCTAGTGAAATATAAAGATTAAAAATTAAGCTAATTTGGAAATAAAAGGACTGACTAAAATTGAGGTAAATTGTAGAGATATAAAATTATATTTAAACAAAAATTAATAATAATAATATAAAAATATTGTATTATCTTCATGCACTCTTTGGTGACCCAAAAGAAAATAATTTGACGTACATTTCATTTGGATACGTGGGTGACTATAAACATAAATGTTAGTTTTGTCTCACACCGGTGAAAAATAAGTGAGCATATGACCGTATATAACAGTTATAAGGTAACAAAATTTTTTGTAGAGCAAGTTTTCACTCGCAAGAAAGGTGTAATAATTTGAACATTGTGTTAAAGAGAAACTATGAAATAGACATGTTTCTAAAGATGCAAAATAGCTGCATCAGGATAAAAAAATCCTAAAAAGCTTTAATATTGTTTTCTTAGATTGGCTGGATTTTTCTTGGCACATCATTATATCAACTATTAATGTGTGGTTAATAATGTGATGCGGTATTTATTGAAATTAATGTGTATAATATTGATTGATTTTGTCTCACAAATGATTGATAGTGTTACATATGTTACAAAAATATCTAAAATAATTAACCACTTATAAAATGAAAGTAAAGATATTTATAAAAGTGATTAACTAAGTGTACGCTACATATACAGTAAAACAATGTATGATAATCGGTGCAATTTTTACTTTAATCATCTTGCACTCTTTATGAAGCATGAAATGAATATGCGACAAAATATAAAATTTGAAATTGTTAACTCAAACTTGAAGGTCTTGAATAATGACATGTACCTAATTTCTTAAAACTGTTGCAATGCATATCTGGAGTATAATCGTTGCGATACCTGTGTGGCTGTGTCTATAAAAAGCAGCAAGAATCAGCCATTTTCCACAATTCTTCAGATTCTCCTTTGTAAAAAAAAAAGCATATGCTCTGCCGTCCAACCTAGTCGTGCTCGCTGTCGTCTCATTATATTCTTCGCTTTACAATATATTAATTTTTGGTAAGTTACTACGTACATTTTATCATATGTGGCATTGGTTTGGTGGTCACTGATTTTAGTGATCCACTGTCACTATTTTAATTAGTAATAATGTTATTAATATATACTTCAAGTCTTTATAACAAATACGGATTACACCAAAAAAATTATGCATAAGGGACAGCGCCCGATAGGGAAAGAAGAAAGAGAAATTGATGGTATGAAAGAGAAAGAGAAAAAAAAAAAACCTTTAACTAATTGAGTAAAATTTGATTTCCACAAATTGATATGCTATGCGTATATATGTAGTTAGTTTTGTAAAATAGTAGATATATAGAAGACATCGTTTATAGAAATTTGGTGGTGATATATTTTGTGATGTTCTCAGCACCAAGAGATATGGGTTGGAATGGATGTCTCAAGAACCTGGTCATCATGACTTCTTTGATGGTGGCCATGATTGTTGTTCAACATGTGGAGTGTGAGGAAGGTGATCATGTTCATGAGTCAGCCAGCATGTTAGTTCAGCATGGTGGCTTCGTTCAACGAAGTGGCACCAATTTCGTTCTGAATAACAAGCGTTTCTACTTCAACGGATTCAACGCCTACTGGTTAATGGTTATGGCTTCTGACCCATCCACAAGGCCCAAGGTCACTACCATTTTGCAACAAGCTTCAAGCCATGGTTTAACTGTTGCAAGAACTTGGGCTTTCAATGATGCAGGTTACAGAGCCCTTCAGGTCTCTCCCGGTTCCTACGACGAGCAAGTATTCAGGGTAATGCATCTTCAATTAATATATTATTTTCGATTGTTGCAGTTTAGAACTATGTCATGTTTGATATTTAGTTATACCGTACATATATGTTACGTGGTTGCATGTGTAGGGATTAGACTTTGTAGTATCAGAAGCGGGAAAACATGGGGTGCGTTTGATACTGAGTTTGGTCAACAACTGGAAAGATTTTGGTGGGAAAAATCAGTACGTGGAATGGGTAAAGCAACATGGTGCGTACGTGAACAACGAAGACGATTTCTTTACGCATCCTGTTGTTAAGACACTTTACAAAAACCATATTCAGGTGAGTCAATCCAATATGTAACCATGCATGGCCATAAAAGGACCTCTCGTGGAAAAATTATTAGGTGGTATCTTTATATCATGTGTAATTAATTATTATTAATTTTTTTATAAATTCAAAAATTTAAATATATATGATATAGTTATTGATTGATACTATAATTCTAAATTATCTAATAAATTTTCCTCTGGTATACCTAACTATTTGCGTAGTTTATGCTGATAGCACATCTCAAAAGTGTCACTTCTAAGTAATTTTTTTTTGTCTAAAATAAATCTTATGAGTAATAATTAAATTTAAAGTTCTCACGTACGCATTGAATTTTCAAAATTAATTCAATATATCTAAAATCAATTAATTGATATTTTATGATATTTTACTTTATATTAATATATAAATATAAATAACTAATAATTATTTAATTCTATATCTAAATGTCATATAGCTTGGGTGTAAAAAATCATTTTGGATGTCTAAGTCATATAAAAATCCATATATAGATATTTTTTACGAAGAGGATGTAAGAAGAAAAAAATAAATAAAGGTAGTGTGTATATACCCTTACTTTTAAATATATCAATGACAAAGAACTTAATTAATTTCTCTATAAAAAAAAAAAGAACTTAAATAATTTAATATTCTGCAAATTCTATGTTTCTTTAATTAAAAAGGATAAAAAAAATTATATCAAACAAGATTTCCCAAAATAATAGTATAACAAGAGGTCCATTAATTAAAACGTTGGTGATTAATTTTTCGTGTTTATAAATATGGATATTATTTCCTTGTCATAAATCTTCATTATTTTCATTACTACAATATGGATATTATTTCCCTGTCCAAAATTCAGAAATTAAAACATTGGTGATTAATTTTTCTTGTTTATAAATATGCAGACTGTGCTGACAAGAAAAAACACCATAACTGGGGTGGCATATAAGGACGATCCTGCCATATTTGCTTGGGAACTTATGAATGAACCTCGTTCCCAACACGACAACTCCGGAAAAGCTATTCAGGTTCTTGCTCTCACTCACACTACCACCTACATAATATTATCAAACATTACATACATAACTGGCCGCACACGCAACACACATATATGTCATTGTTTTTGGCTTTCTTTCTTCACAAGTTGACAGCATTGCATGTTATTAATTACCCATGTCGTATTATTCCTTTAATTTCCTTCACTTTAAGATTCCTAAAAGAAACAGGGGCCACCCAATTTTTATAAGAGCCAAAAACAATATTATCGCAGAGATGTGAACATTAATTGATTAAATCGCATAAAATTATTTAAACTTGGTCATTAATTTTCGAAATATAGATATAGATAATTAAATGATAATATTAAAATTTGTATCTTTTCTTTTTGCAGGAATGGGTGACTGAGATGGCTGCCCATGTCAAATCCATCGATAGGAACCATTTGCTGGAAATAGGACTAGAAGGGTTCTACGGTGAAACAGTGCCGGAAAAAAAACAATTCAATCCTGGTTACCAACTTATTGGTACCGATTTCATTTCAAACAACCTAGTTCACCAAGTCGATTTTGCTACCATACATCTCTACCCTGAACAGTGGTATATACTTTTTTTTTCACTATAAATATCAATCAATTATCACATGCAAAATTAATTAAGAAAAGTACATGAATAAACTTCTTAACCAATAGTTGTAATGTCTGTTTTGGAATATGAGATCAATTTGATCTATTCAAGATCAATTCTTATCAATATTAAAATGTTTGATTAGGAGAAGTTATGTTTAGCTAGTCTAAATTAATTTGAAGTTATTAATTTTAAGATACTGCATGAATCATATTTATGTATAAAAAAAAATTAAGTATATTATAAGGTAAGTTAATAATTACACATGGGTACATGCAGGTTGCCAGGCTCAAACGAAGCTGCTCAGGTTGCATTTGTTGACAAATGGGTAGAATCACATATTCATGACGCCAAAAATGTTCTTGGAAAACCTATTGTTGTTGGTGAATTTGGCAAGTCTTCGAAGTTATCAAGCATGGTTGAAAGGGACAGTTACATGAATAAAATGTATAGTGCAATATACAATAGTGCTAGTAGTGGGGGACCCTGTGCGGGTGGGCTATTTTGGCAGCTCATGGCTCAAGGAATGGATAGTTTCCGTGATGGTTATGAAGTTATCTTTGAAGAGAGTCCTTCAACTACCAGAATTATAGAACAGCAATCCCACAAAATGTCTAGTATTGCTTAGTGGAGAAGCATTTCGTCTAAATATGTTTGTAACATTTTTTGTTCCCTGTGTGTTTTCATTATTACAAGCATTATGCGTGGTGTGAACAAATTAAGCAAATAACGTCATCAAGAAGACAATTTTCAAAACAGTTTTTAATGTTTAATTATTTCTTGTATACGAAAATAAAAGTGAAAAACAATGTCTTAGAAGGTGTGTTTTGGACCTAATGCAATCTTGCAAAACCAGCTGTGAGAATTGTTCAACTTATATACACTACTTAAGTCATATCATCAGCTGATGTGAAATATTGAATACCATGTTCATTTCTTAATTAGTAGCTGTTTGGATAACATTCATAATTTTGAATTATGTTATACCAAAGAAAATATTGAATACAAGTGTTTTCTTGCGATATTCCTTGGTGGATAAAATTATTCAACAGAAATGATTATAGATCAATGATATAAAAAAATTGAGTTTGTCATCGGGTAGAATTGATTTCGGGTGTAAGTGAATAATGTCTCCACGATTCATTTTAATGTCATACTTAAATACAAATTAGTTTTCTTATAAGGAATACTACAAAAATCAATTCTATCAAAATTTAAAACAAATGGACCCTTAATTAATAAATGAGGTAGCTAAACTGAGTTTTGATGCATAAATAATTCAATACATGATAAAGCAGAAAGCAAAATAAAGTGGTTGCAAGTGGGTGATGAGTATCACAAATTAAATACATAGAAGGAGCAATTGTGGATATAAATGAGATATATCCAGAAGAAATTAGGGAAGGAGTCCGATGATGGTTTTTACTGAAAAGTTTTCAGGAGGAAGATGGTGTAGAAGATGAAGCTTGGGAAAATTGGAGTTTTAAAATATTAGTAACGAGGACAAATATTGTAGCCTTGTCTCAAAGTTTGAAGAAGAAGAACCATATTCTGTTTGGTGCAAGGTACTACTACCACACACTTGGAAATGGTAAGAAGTTGTTAGCATGGGGTGGAAAGAGATTATGATCTTTGATTGCAATTGGACGATTATTGAAAAAGTAGTTGGGAAGTGGTGAAAATAGCTAACTTTAATTTTGTTTGTTGCATGGACAAGGTGATTCGTGGCCCTGGAATGGATAAGGCTCAGGTCAGGTCAGTCAGGTGTATATCAGCTTCTCAACCAATCACAACATGTTCCAAGCTATTCATCATTTCATTCTATGAAAAAGTACTGAGAGACTCCTCTTGTATAGATACACGCGCACACAACAGAAATTCATTTATTCTAAATATAATTAGCAAATTTATCAATATTTATTTTATTTAATAATTTATAATTTATATCAAATTTTAATAATTTAATCGTTAATTTAAAAAAAATTTAATACATTTTTTTTAAATCATTAAAATTTGATCTATACATACATGCATGTGCGCGCGCGCACACATATATATATATATATATATATATATATTAATGTTTACAAATTTTAAAAAGATAAAAAATAAAAAAAACAATTTAATGGACAAAAATTAAAACTAAAAGACTAAAAACATATTCAAACCTTAAAATTAATGGTTGAGATTAAAACTCTATTATAAATATCTCTCATAAGATAATTACTACTATCACCTTTATACCTATCATTGTCTATTGATATTATCATTGTTACAATGATCATCACTATACCCATCATTTTCACCCCACATGACGATGATAACAATGATAATAGTGGCAACGATGATGATGATGAAAATAATAGTAATTGTAATGGTGATAATGATAGTGATAGTTGTAGATAAAGGTAAATATATGGACTAGCCTAACTTATTTAAGGTTTGACTCGCGAAGTCCACATTTTTAAAGAGTCAAATAAGTTCAACAATTCCCTCCAATAAATTTGAATTTGATTTTGGGCTAGACTAGAATTTAAATTTTAAAAAAATTTGATTTGGTAGCAAATATAATTAAAGAAATTAAAAGAATTTTTTTATTTTGAATTTGATTTTTAAGATTGATAAAGCAGTTTAAAAAATATCCTAATATTTTAATATGCACATTTTATAGGTCAAATATTTATTATAAATAACTAAATTTTATAATAAATTCAACATAAATAAGTATTATATTTAAATATATAAATTATATTATAAATTACTATACATAGATATTTTTAAATATATAAATTATATTATAAATTACTATACATAGATATTTTTAAATATATAAATTATATCTTATATTGATGATAAATAATTTATATTATAATATAAATTATTTATCATCAATATAAGATATAATTTATATATTTAAAAATATTTATTTATTCAATTTTTAAATATAATTTATATATTCGAATATACTTCCTCCAATTTTAATTATAAAACACAATTTAGAAGAATTAATTAGTTTTTTTGTTAAAGTACTTTACAATTTTTATAAAAAAAAAATAATTATAATTTTCAAGTATGTCCCTATTAAAGATTGTGTGAATAAGTGTTATTCTTTCACCTCTTAAAATTTTTAATTATCATTTACCATTTTTATTAATATTAATAATTTCTTTACCTCTTTCATAAAAATTTAATGATAAATAAAAAAGATAAAATTGATAAATCATATTATTATTTTTAAATCTAATAAAATCAATTAATATAACTATTTATGTTGATTTGTATGATTTGATTTAAAGTATTTTATAATAAAAATTGAAAATATATATATGTATATATATAATTTAAAAAAAAAATAGTTATATATAATAAATATTTAAGTTATATTCTCTCACTCTCACATGGTGTCATGCGAGAGACTAAATCAATAATTTTTCTCTTCCATTATAGTTCATTTCTTGTGATGTGAGTCATGGTGATGACTCTTGAACAATGGATCATACCTAACACTCAAGGGTAAACAACAATGATATATGCTTTTATTCTTGCAACTGATGGCAAAATTTCTCTTATTCCAAAGGTAATATTCAATCTTGCAAATAATCTCAACTAATTTGTGACCGTTTCGGCATGTAACAGCAGCGATACAAAGAATTTGATTGGCCGCACAATTTTGTAGCCCGATGAGCCAACAAAAATGTTCTATCAAATGAATGTGTACCCTTGATTGAAGATTCAAAAATTGATACTTGAGCCCTTATTTTCCAGGACCGTAAAATTTATTCTTAGTGAAAATTTTGAGTGATGCTGCATTTTGTGACCACCTTGCACCCTTCATTAAATGATTGTACCATTGTTAATTACAGAGTCTTTTAACACGACAGTGATTCCTGATCGAATATAAAACCCATCTGATGCTCTGTCTGCCTCTTGCACATTCTGCATTACAAGTACAATTCTTAATTTCTCTCTTAACTCTAATCAAAATACAATGCTTATGTAAATTAAACGGGTAAAGTGCTCTCAATGGATATGTCAAACATTTATTAGTTACTTTTAAATATTTTATTAATGATTGAAAGTATGGGAGAAATAGGGTTAGTGAAATTAAATTTTGTTCAAATAATTTTAATGTATATATATATATATATATAT